GCTGTGATCTTATGCAGGTCCCTGACACCTCTAAGAGTGTCTCCTCTGTCTTACTGTAAAGGACACCAGGGCCCAAAGATGAGTGATTTCCCCAAGGGCATCAGGGCAGAGCGGAGGGGTGAGATGTGGATCTGGACTTCTTTGCTGCATACTCTGCCAAGATACATTTTGCCTGTCAATCAAAACTGAGCTGAGCACCTGGTCCCCAGCACTCTGCTGATAAACGGTTTTGAGCCCCAGGAGGAAGAAATTGTGTCGTTCCCGCCAGTGTGAGTAAAATTGGCCCAGGCTTGCAAAGCACAATTTATATACATTCTGAGACTCCCAGTGGTTCCTGAGGATCCCCAGTGCTGTTGCTATGTCTCCTGGCCTCCACTGCAGGCACGCAGATTCCCCATAAGGAAATCTACTTGCAGCCTGGTGTTAGCTAGTCACCCCAGGCAGGCTAGTCACCGTTAGACTGGGAGACAGTTCCCTCCAGGACAGAAAGTGATTACAGTGACGGCTGCCACCAGGGACAGAGCCATCTAGTGACGTTGCCTTCCTGAGACATAGAGCCATCCTATGACTCCTGCCGCCTGAGAGATAACACTAGCCCTCTGTCCCTGTGAAAACCCTCCCCTGTCCCTGGGACGCCTCTACCTGAGAATCACAGTCTCAGACACTGCTCCTCCAGAAGACTGAAGTGCTTGCTCACTCACCAGAAAGACTCAGTCTTCCTGAGTTTTGATTTTCTTGTCAGTTGGAAGAAGGGGGTTACCCCATCTTCTGCTGGGTTTTCTCCTTTCTCTAGAGAGGAAAGACACGCTGCCAAAAATACTTACAAACCACTTCCTTGTGTTTACGGTGGAGAAAAGGTTTATTTATTTTACAATTGCATCGGACTGGTAGCCAGGGACAGTGGTGCTAAGAGGCTAGGGCCTTGTGCCCTCCCTAGGGTGCTGAAGAGTTTTCTGCAAGGATTCCCAGGCTTAGCCCTTGCCTCTGAAACACACACACACATCCTGTGTAGCCCGCAGCCCCCTGCAGAGCCTCCCCTGCAGCACCTCCCCTGCCAGGCCATTGAGACAGCACCAGGCCTCACCCTAGGTGCCAAGGCGGCTCCTCACCCAGCCACCACTGTCCCGGGCTTAAGGAGCAGGAACATTACCAATAGTCTTGCTTCTCCTCCAGGAACTGGCTGCTCTGTGTAGATGCCCCGTTCAGCCCACATCCCTATCCAGGAGACACCCTCCCCTGCAGAAGAGGAACAGGGACGAAAAGGGCAAGTGTGTGTGTTGGGGTGGAGCTGGGAGGATGGCTTTAAAACCCCAGGCATGCTGCTGTTGTTCAACTCTAACATCTTCCATATTCTTCAGCCAGATAATAAAAGAAACCAGGGTGGAGACCCCTAGCAGGGAGACTGCAAAACAACATGGACATGGATACAGAACCAAAACTTTCCCACACCATGGCCTCTGAGGTCTTGGCAAAATAGCCCCAGCTGTCAGGTGTGTACTGCTTTTCAGCAAAAGCAAACTTGGTTCAAATTCACTGCCTGACTTGGCCTGGTTCAGGTGATGAAGGACGAGGGAATTCTCCCTAACAGATGCCTTTCCTGGAGCCTTAGTGGCCTGGACACCGTCTGCTGTTTTTTTCTGCATGTGTTCTACGCTATAGATGTTCTGGGATTTCCAGAGCCAGGAAAGCTAGGGATGCTCCAGAAAGGCATCTGTGGCCATGACCAGAAACTGGGAACCAGGATGCTGAAGAAGTCTGCTTTGTGTGAAAGTCTGCCCTATGACAGGGTACGGGGACATTTTGTATGTCACTTGAATGACATAAGCTCTGGGATAGAGAGGTGTCCTGGAACAGGGCTGATTATAAACAGCATTGCAGAGAATGTGCTCATCGAATAGCTTTTAAAAATTAGTCATACAAAAGTGGCAAAAAAATTTTCCCGTTTCTCAGTGTGGTGGTGCACATCTTTAATCCCAGCACCTAGAAGGTACAGGCAGGGGGATCTCTATGAGTTCCAGGCCAGCCAAGGCTACCTAGTGAGACCCGGTCTCAAACAAAAATCACTTCCCTCCCATCTGCTCAAGTCAACTTTTCCACAATGACTCTGGATTGGTTCTGGGTCGTACCTTAGACAGGATGGTTTTCCACCTGCTCTGATGGCAGCCGCATACCATTCCCAGTGGACCCAGTGCACAGGCCACACGTCTCCTGCCACAATACCCATGTCTCCTGACACATGGCACCCCTGGCAGCAAGATAACCATCCAAACTGTATGAGTACATCATGTCTCTCTCTCTCTCTTCTGGGTCAACTCCTTAAGAATATGCATAGAGAAGGACAAAACATATCCAGGAACGCTGTCTTGAGGAGAGATTGTGTAGTGGGCTGCTGGGTGCAGGACCCTGGTGTTCATGGAGATGTTGCTTAGTGGGCTGCTGAGAGCAGGACCCTGGTATTCATGGGGCTCAGGCCTTCCAGAGGCCCAGCAAATGGTTGTCAACTCACCCTCAGAAATCCTCCTGCCACAGAAGTGCTCCTGCCTTTTCCCGAACTGAAATTTTCCTGACAAGGCCCTGTGAGCCCGCAGCCAGTTATCCTCCAGCATATCAGGAGTGGGTCATACTTTGGATTCGCTCACGCCTTATATCCTAAGTCTGCCTCAAGCTCAGCTGATGTTTTGTGCAAGCTGACAGCCCCTGAATCGTGTGGCTATGTGCCCTTTCTAACCTTCATTAAACCTGAGTTGAACAGGGAGTGGCCTCTACCAATTCTGTACTCCAGATTCTGGATGTCAAATGTTACAAAGGCCAGAATTCTGAAAGAAAAACAACACCACCATTCTTTTTGACACTCTTTTGGGTTGCTAGGGAAAACTAGTCCAAGGCAGATAAAAATAACTTAGGGCCTGAAGGATGGCTCAACAGGTAAAGGCACTTGTTGGCAAGCCTGGTTCCTGAGTTTGATCCCCAAGAACCACATGGTGGAAGCACCAAACACCACCAGCTATCCTCTGAGCTCCACACGAATGCCATAATATATGCATGCTCCTGTTAATATCAATTAATTACGTGCAATAAAAAATAATTTAAAAAATTAATAGCTTAAAATGACCAAGATTTTGTATAACTGAGCCTCAAGTCAATAGAATGAACAAAAGAGATGAAATTGGACACATTCAGGGTGGTATGGCCAGGAAGGAAGGAAGGAAGGAAGGAAGGAAGGAAGGAAGGAAGGAAGGAAGGAAGGAAGGAAGGAAGGAAAGTAAGTCTACTACCTAAGCTGGAGTTATCCAAACAGTTTTAAAAGGCTCAAAGACAGGACCAAAAGTGTTTCTTTCACAAAGAGTAAGAAAGGGAAGAAATGGGGAGAATGGCAGATGGCAGCCAGGATGAGTCAGGACACCAGTGTGGGGGTGGGGGGGCTGGTCCACTCTCTTCATTTCTGGTGAAGGGGATGGTCTTTGACCTTCACATTGTCTTCTGGGGCTGGGAGCTGACTTGCTCTCCTCAAAACAGCAACAGTGAGCTCATCAAGACCCAAGACAACCGCTGGAGTGGAAGGAGAGTCTATTCTTCTCTTAACTCTCATCCATTGTTCCAAAGCCTCCACAGGCAGAACTGGGCTCGCCCAGGCCTGGGCGCCATGGTAACAGTCACGTGACCCCCACAAACAGCTCTGCTAGGGCTGTAGGCTCCACCTGCTTCTCACTAAAGGGAGCCTGGAGTTTGTGATCAGAGATGCAGAGAGTCCCCCGACTGACCACCCCTTGGGCTAATAGGGACCTGCAGAGAGCCTGGGAGAAAACCTACCAGGACCACAGGAAAAAGGTAGGAAGACACAGGCTAGCCTTAGGCTGGGCTTTGGGGTGCCAGGCAGAGACCAGGGAAAAAGGACATGAACCAGGAAGATAGGGGCTTTGGGGTACTGGGTTTTGGGGTGCCTGACAAAGATCAGAGAAGCAGGGCACAGGTTCAGATGGTCAGAATGGCAGTTTCTTTTTTTTATTATAAAATTGTTTTATGTGTATGAATGTTTGCTTTCATGTTTGTCTGTGCACTCCGTGTGTACCTGGTGCCTATGGAGGCCAGAAGAAGGTACTAGCTTCCTTGGAATTGAAGTTACAGACAGTTGTGCATGCTGGGATTCAAATCCAGATTCTCTGGAAAAGTAGCCAGCCTTCTTCACCTGGCTAAGCATCTCTCCGGCCCCAGAATGACGGGTCCTATCGGGGTTCTTCATTGTGTCACAGTGAGCAGGATCTTCACACATTCGGGCTCAAAACCATCCCATCCCCACACACAGTGTATGTTCTTAGAGTACCCAGTTTCCCCCGAAATCACCTTAGGACAAAGAGCTGTGTATCCGCTCCTGGTCCACATTGCAGGCACCAGAGGAGAATAAAGTCTGCCTGCCCCTGGAAAGGCAAGAGACAAGGATTATTTCTAACCCAGATGAGGATGCGGATGTTGCTTAAGAATGCCATTAAGTGGGGCTGGAGAGATGGCTCAGAGGTTAAGGGCACTGACTGCTTTTTCCGGAGGAGACAGGTTCAATTCCCAGCACCCACATGGTGGCTCACAAACATCTATAATGGGACCTGATCCCCATTCCCTCAGATGCCCTCTTCTGTCGTACAGATTACATAAAAATACATGAATAAAATAAAATTTTTTTTTAAATTCCATGAAGTAGCTCTGCCTTCCTAGTGGGCACATCTGCTAATGGCCTTTCCATCAGTTATGGTGAAAACCCTTGAGGGATGATGTCCTTGACTCTGGAAACCAGGAATGGGGTGATCCTCTTTACTAATCTTCAGGGGTTGCCCCAGGTACCACATAGACAGTCAATCCTATTTCCTCTGAACTTTCAGGTGTCACCCTAAGAGATCAGCTCATTGCCGGGCTCACTTGATACCCCACCTCTCTGGCCGCAGGAGACCCCCATGGAGCCCTCCTCCCAGCTCTTTCAAAGGTCTGAGCGAGCTTCCTGACATCTCTAACTTCCTCGCTTCCCTTCTACAAGAAGAAGCATACCGTGGTCTCCTGGTTTCCTGTCCATGCCCCCATGCTGCACACACAGCTTCATCACACAGCGCCGTTCCACCTGCTCTTATCATGCCTGTTCACTGCGGCATTATCAACCTCTAGTAATTGCTTAGTGATGATATCACACTAAGAAGCCAGAATCGTTGACTGTTGTGTCTGTGAGTGATCTTGGAGACCAGCCCTGTGGGAAGTTGTTCTTTTGTATCCAGGGACTGGCCCAAACCCTTTGAGATAGACAGTCGCCTGAGCTTATGTGTGGGACCAGACTCTACACCTGAGCGTAGAGTCATAAAACAAAGCTGTTTGGAAATGGTCGCTGCAGCGGAGAAGGCTGAATGAGCAAATGGAACTCAGTAAGGTGGACAGCTGGTTGGGGCCCTGAGGTGTTTGGGAACATTGACTTACGGCACAAATACACAATTTTTGAATAATGTGCCAGAAATATCCCAGAAGCCTATGACTGGGGTTTCTGGAGAACCTGATCTGGCTATGTCTACCAGCAGAACCAGTAGACTGGGAATCCACAAGTCTGACTCAAGGGTGAAGGTGCTAACCCGTGACAGAACAAACCCTGAGTCTCACTGAGAAGGGAGGAAGCGGAGGCAGAGACAAGGACGGGAAGGGAGAGCACGCAAGGTCCAGGGACCAGCCTTGGGCTTCTCTGGTGGAAAAGCTAAAGAAAGGGGGTTGGGATGGAGCACATTAGCTGAGGAAATAACCTCGGAATGGAAACCATGGCGACGGAGGGTGTGGAGAGTTCAGAAGCTAGGGAGGTCAGACAGTGGGAGCTAGTGGGACGTACCCATAGGCACAAGATGAGGGAGGGGAGACTGTCAGAGTTGGGGTGTCTATTGCTGTGATAAGACACTATGACCAAAGCAACTCGGAGAAGGAAGGGGTTATCTGGCGTATCCTTCCACATCATAGTCCATCATCACAGGAAGTCAGGACAGGAACTTCAGGCCGGAACGGAAGCAAAGACCACAGGTAAGCATCGCTGACTGGCTTGTTCCCATGACTTGCTCAGCCTGCTTTCTTATACACCTCAAGACCACCTGCCCAAGGACGGCACCGCCCGCAGTGGGCAGGCCCTCCCACATCAATCATTAATCAAGAAAATGTTTCACAGTCCTGTCTACAGGCAATCTGATGGAGGCATTTCCTCAGCTGAGGCTCCTCTTCCTAGAGATGTCTGTGTTTATGTCAAGGTGACAAACAGCACAGGGACAAAGTGTGACTGTGACCCGGATACCAAGGGCCCTGTAAGATGAAGACAGTTATGAGCGGGTGGAAGAAGGGTGACGGGGCGTGGCAAAGGCCAGAGATCCCTCTCTCACACCCCACGTTCAACTAGTTTGAATAAAAGCCAGTCCATGTTCCACGTGAAGAGTAGGGATCTCAGCTTTTCAGGCAGTTAGAGCTAGATTGAGATTCTCTGAAAACACAGAGAGTTTGATAAAACAGAGAAAAGAGAACGGAGTACCCCAGTTACCTCTGACACCCCAGGACCACCTCTAGAGTCTCAGTAGTTACTTTAGGAGCTGAGTGCCCGTTCCAACCTGGTCCCACTCTTCAGCAAGCGCCCCTATAGCGCACACATCCTTCTGTCTGCTGCTTCCTTTGGAAATGCGCCTTTCTCCTTCCCCGTCTGCCGGGCATCCCCTGCTGATGGAAGGGTCTACAAACCTGAGGACGCACCGATAAAGCCTGCACTGATCTGTTCTTTGTGCTGTAACAGGACACCCCAGACTAGACAACTTACAAACAGCAGGCATTTGTTTCAGCAGTTCAAGAGACCACATGTCCAAGATATTCAAGGATCTGGATGACTCAGTGTTTGCAAAGAGTGACTTCCAAGATGACAGCCTTAATGGCGCAGGTGGATTGCTGATGGCTGTTTTATAAGGGCTTTCATTTCATTCACGAGAAAAGAAACATCATGACTTAATCACTTCCCCCAAAGGCTCTGCTTCTTAATACCACCACGGGGAGGATTAAAGCTTCAGCATGAATCATGGGCGATCACAGAGGCAAACCATAGCAACCTTCGAAACTGAAATCAAAAAGAACCAACGCCTAACCAAAAAAAAAAAAAAAGAAGAAGAAGAAGAAAAAGAAAGAAAGAAAAATGAAAACAAACCTGAATATCCAAACTCAGTGGTACGAGTGCAGAGGTGTAACGCCAGTAGCGAACACAGGGAGAAGAAAGGAAGGAGAAGATCTATAAGAAGGAATAATAAGGGGCAGTGTCCCCCACACCTAGACACTACAGCAGAGATCCAAGGAGCCCAGAAAATGCCCTAACGCAATCTCAAATATACATAGGCATGCATATTATATTTGAACCTCAGAAAAATAAAAAGTAAGAAACAATCTAAGGTGTTCAATGGATGTCCTAGCAGATAAAGCACATTCTGCTATGATGGCCTGAATTTAATTCTCAGGACCTACATGATGGAAGAAGAGAACCAACTGTCGCGTGTCCTCTGACAAGCTGTGGACTGTGTTCATGCATGCAAACAGACACACATATGTCATAAGAGATTAATTAAATACAGAGAGTCACAGTGGCTTGGACTGTGTAGGTCTTCAGTGATACAGGAGCAGGGGAAGTTATAGGATTTAGTTGTAGTAAGGAAGTGCACTACCCATGATTCATGGGAAAGTTATTTGAATTAATATTAATATTAATCCTCACTGTGATGGTAGTAAGTTGACTGGGATGGTTGCAAATGTATGTCACAAACTCCATAAAAAATTGTCTTTAAAATGTCTTTAAAATGTTTAACTGGCGTAGCTGGAGAGCTGTGTCAGCGGTTAAGAGCACTGGCTACTCTTGCAAAAAGAGGACTTGGGTTGGGCTCCCAGCACCCATGTGGAGGCACACGTCCAATTCTAAAGGATCTGGCGGCCTCTTCTGGCCTCCTCAGGTACCAGATACACATGCAGTACACATACCTACAGGCAAAATACTTGTACAAATAACATAAAATTAATGTTTTTAAAAGATTTTTTATTTATTATCTATACAGTGTTCTGCCTGCATGTATAGCTGCAGGCCATAAGAGGGCACAAGGTCTCATTACAGATGGTTGTGAGCCACCATGTGGTCGCTGGGAATTGAACTCAGGACCTCTGAAAAACAGCCAGTGCTCTTAACCCCAGAGCCATCTCTCTAGTCCTAAAATTAACATTTTTAAATTTCAAATAAAATGAGGAAAGGCAGAAAACTAGTAGAAAACAAAAAAGGAGCAATGGACAAGGCCAATGGATGGAACATAGCAGCAAATGTTGTAGAGGTGACTCCTACCGGATGGGCATGCACTTTGCATGTCTGTGGTCTAAACGCAGCAAGCAAGTGACAGAGACTGGAAGCCGGGAGAGCCTCCTCAGGTAAAGGTTCTGGTCACCGAGCCCCATGACCTGAGTTTGATTTTCTGGGACTCACATGATAAGAGGAAAGAACCAGCTTCTGCAAATCGCCCTCTGGCCTCCACACACATGTGACAGCATGTACACGCGTGCATGTGTTACAGCGTGTCCACCCCAACACACGATAATGGATGAATGTTTTTGAAAAGGGCAAATTATCAAAGCGGATCAAAAATATATTTAAATACATATGGGTGGGTGTGTGTATGTTGATCATAAGTAGTTCACGTTACTCTAAAGATACATAGACTACGAATAAATGGAAAAGAATACATCATGTTAACACTCATTAAAAGGAAGCAAAAATAACCGTTTTTAATCTTCGGCAGAGCAGACTTCAAAACAAGGAGTGTTGTCAGGGATGAGAAAATCAGTGTATGATTACAACGGGGTCAGCCCTTCCAAAGGACAGCGGCCCTCGACATGTTTGCTGCTAACAGTAGCGTCAAGTCCTGGGACAAGGAGAGTTAGAACGGCAAGAAAAATGATGAATTGAGAAGGGAGGACCACAAAAGGACAATAGAAGGCTAATGTGCTCCAATTACATTATGTGAGTAAATGAGAACAGCTACAGTTAAACATATGATGATTTTTAAAGGGGAAAGGGAAATGCGTGGTGCTACTGTCCTAGTGGGAAATTCTAACACCTTCAGTCAGAAATGAATCGCCCGGCAGGAAATCAGTAGGGAAATGTTTGAACTCAGTTAACACTATTAGCCCACTGGATGGCTTGGATTGAATCATTTTTCCTATACAAAACCAAAGAAAGGCACAGTTCATGAAAGAAATAATAGAGAGCCGGGCGGTGGTGGCGCACGCCTTTAATCCCAGCACTTGGGAGGCAGAGGCAGGCGGATCTCTGTGAGTTCGAGACCAGCCTGGTCTACAGAGCTAGTTCCAGGACAGGCTCCAAAGCCACGGAGAAACCCTGTCTCGAAAAACCAAAAAAAAAAAAAAAAAAAGAAATAATAGAGAAACTGAGTTTCATCAAAATTCAAAATGCCTCTTTGCGGTGAAAAACAATGTTGCGAGAGACAAGAGACAAGCCCCAGCCTGGAGAAACGTTTGGAAAGCATATATGTGATAAACGACGTTTCCCGAAATGTACAAAGAACCCCTAAACTCAACAGAAAGAAAATAATCTAATTAAGACTGAGTAGAGATTCCCAGATGATGTGTACAGATGGCAAGTGAGCCTGTGGAAAACACTCCACCTCAGTTCACCTGGAAAAGGCAGAGTAAAATGATAATTAGTAGCGCTACACTCCCATCAGAATCCCCATCCCCTAGGGACCTCCACATGGCATCTGACTATTGGAAGCCTCTGCCAGACGGTCCCTTGGGTCCCTAATGATGCTTCTGTATATAGGCATAGGTGATCAAATTGCTTAGCACTGGGGACTAGCTTAACCCTCATTCTCACTCTCCTAAGAGAGGTCCAAGACTGGGACCAAAATTTCTAGACCTCTAACTGTATAATCAGCCCCCTGGTGATGGACCTCCATTTGAGGCCAGGCAGGATCCTCATCACCAGCTGCCTCGCTGGCTACCACCAAAAAGATACATGTAGCTTTTGAGTGATCCAGGATTCTAGCTCTAGAATGACAGGAAAGGGCATGAGAAGACTAAGCACACCTCTTCTCACGCCTGTGCTGAGAGCAACAGAACATTCTGGAAGATCACAGTAGAAGACCTGGACAAACAGAAAGGGGAACAGCGTTTTTTTAAAATAAACACTTGATGCACAAATATAGATGTTTCCCTTGAGTTGCTTTGAATCCTCAGGAAGACCCACTGTTTTATTGTTCCCCCTGGGGCCAGACAATTCATCATCAAGCTTACCTGGTAGCCGTGCATGCATACTCAGGAAATACTGGAAAGAAAGTATAACTGGAGAAGGCTCATCTATGATAGCAAATGCTAAACCCAACACAAGGCTCGGGATCTAAGCACGTGACAGTGTTCAGCACGGACAGGAGACGGAACAAAGGCCCAAAGTACTCAGCCGCAATTGCTTCTGAAAACCAAAAGATACTAAAAGTGGTGTCTGCAGACAGCAGTAGTCTTCTCACTGTCCCAGAAGCTTGGCACACACAATCAAGGTGCTTCACATACATGTGTGTGTGTGTGTGTGTGTATATTGTATATACATGTATATATAAATATACATCCATATGGATATCTGTGGATCTTACTGCAGTGTCCCCTGGTGGTAGAAACAGAAGACGGAGAACTGTGCCCTTCCATGGGGAGTGAAGAAGGGGCACCCTTTGATACGAGCTTCTTTCACAGGAGCTCAACTCCAGCTCTGAGGCAAGACCTGCCCGCAGGGCTGCATCCTTGTTCTGCGACGGGGATTAAGTTTCCAGCCCGTGAGCCTGAGGGCACGTTAAGACCACAAGGGTCTCTTAGTCTATCTGGGCTGCCTGTAACAACAGAGATGTATTGTTTATAGCTCTGGAGGTTCTAAGTCAAAATGCTGGCAATTGTGGTGCCAGGCCATGGCCGGTTTTATAGATGGTGCCTTCCCGCTGGGTCCCTCTCACTAGGATCTCTTAGGCCACTTATCCCGTTTAAGGAGGCCCTGACCCAGAGCCTCCTCACCTCCCAAACACTCTACCTCCTAATCTTAGGAGTTAAAATTTCAACATATGAAGCTGGAGGACACGAGTGTTCTGGCCCCAGCGAGAGCATATCAAACAACAAGAAAAACAGTACTGAGCGAGAGAATGCCCTACACAGAGGAGAAACCTGGGTCTGTTCTTGCTTTAGCCTGAGTCACCATGGGGAATACTAGACTAGACTTTTTTAATAGCAGAAAGTTATTTCTCACCATTCTGTGGGCTGGGAGTCTAGGGACAAAGTGCCTGGCAGGGTTCAGTTCTTAGCAAGGGTGGTTCCATGCATTGCAAACAGCACACTTTCTCTCAGTTCACATGACAGAGAGGACCAGTGCTCTCCCTTCGTCTTGTGACGGGCTCTGACCCCCAGGCTTTGTTCAGATTCACCTCCCTCCAAAGGATCCCATCTCTGCACTCAGTTCCTGGGATTAGAGCTTCAGTCTGGATCCTCAGGGTTTGGTGTCTTTAGCCCACATACTCTATACTAAGAGAAACTCCAAAAAGATTGTAGATTTAAATATAAGTCAAGAGGCCGGGTAGTGGTGGTTCACACCTTTAATCCCAGCACAGGGAGGCAGAAGCAGGTGGATCTCTGTGAGTTTGAGGCCAGCCTGGTCTACAGAGTGAGTTCTAGGACAACTATATGGCTGTTACACAGAGAACACCTGTCTCAAAAGAACAAAGTGTGTGTGTGTGTGTGTGTGTGTGTGTGTGTGTGTGTGTGCGCGTGCGCGTGTGTAGAGAATGTGATGACACATGCCTGTAACTCCAGCAGCACTCTGGAGGCTGAGGGGAAGATCAAGATTTCAAGACTAGCCTAGACTATGTCTCAAAAAACACAACCAGTGTGTGTGTGTGTGCGTGCGCACGTGCACGTGTGTAGAGAATGTGATGACACATGCCTGTAACTCCAGCAGCACTCTGGAGGCTGAGGGGAAGATCAAGATTTCAAGGCTAGCCTAGGCTATGTCTCAAAAAACACAGCCAGGCATGATGGTGCACACTTCTAATCCCAGCACTCAGGAGGCAGAGGCAAGCCTGGGCTACATAGTGAGTTTCAGTACATTCAAAGCTACATAGTTAGATCCTTCCTTTAAATAGCAAGCCAAAAGACTAAGTATAAAAATAATTAATATTAACTCCTCAAGTACTAGAAGATGGGAAACTTATTCTATAAAATCAGAGTAGAGAAAATTTACTAACCATAACTCAAAGCCCTTTGGGGAAAAAAAAAGAAAGAAAACTGATAAACTTGACTAATAAAAATATTTATAGCATGGCCAAAAAAATAAACAAAAGCAAGTATAAGTAGAAAAAATAACTATAATTTACATCAAGAGTTTATATGTAAACAAACTCTAAAACTAAGGAAATTAAAGTAGATAAGCAATAAGAAAAAAGTCTTCAGGAGTTCAGACAGCTTTTAGCCTGTGAAAAAGATGGCCGACCACTGATAATAGATACATGCAAATCAAGCTTGCTCTCTAAGGCTGTTTCTCAACTCTGAGGTTGGTGAGGAGCCCAAACATCATTGGCAATGCTCTGGGGAAAGAGCCACTACCACGCTCTGCCGGGCTGTGTGTGAAAGGCAGAGCCCCGTGGGGGAACTGAGCAATCCCTCATAAAATTGCACACACGTTTATCCTTTACCCTAGCAACTCCAATCCCAGATAGACTGGCAAATGCACAAAGACAAATTGCAAAAGATTTTCATTGCAGCTTTTTTTTTTGTAATAGCAAAATTGGAACCAATTCAAATATCTGTCAGTGGGCAGCTGGGTCAGTAGGGCTCTTTACCCATAAGGACTGATATACAATTGTATAAAGAGTAAGGAACTTCTCCGCAGGCTACTGTTCAGTTATTTCTGGAATGTAGTGTGTTGTGGTTTGGATATGGTTTAATGTTTCCTAAAGCTTTATGTGCTGAAATGTGAGCCCCATCGTGAGGCCCATACATCTTGAGGGTAGACACTTGATCTCCTAGGATGTTCAGGGGGGAAGCCTGCGGGAGTGACTTGGATTAGACAATGCCATTAGGACGGAGCCCCAGAACTGAATCCTGGTGGCTTAATAAATCAGAGAGATGGTTGGAGCTTTGTCTCCAAGGTGGAGCTCTAGCCTAGCATGAATCTATCCTTGGCTTCATCTCTATGTGTAGATGATAAGCAGATGACAGATAAATAATAGTGGACGAATGAAAGGCCAGCAAAGCCTGCGAATGTGCATGTACACACATGGGTGAATGGGGGTGGCAGCTGTGTGACTTGGTCTTTTGTGGGGCCCCTGGTAGTGGGACCAGGAATGATCCCTGGTGCATGAACTGGCTTTTTGGAGCCCATTCCCTACATAGGGATACCTTGCTTAGCCTTAATACGGGGGGGGGGGGGGGCTTGGTCCTGCCTTGGCTTGGTCTGCCAGGCTTTGTTGAGTCCCCAAGGGAGGCCTTACCTTCTCTAAGGAGTGGATGGGAGGGTGGGAAGATATGCGGGGCAGGAGGGGGAAGGGGAACTGTGATCGGTATGTAAAATGAAGAAAAAGGTTAAAAAATGAATAAAATAAAAACTCCCATCACCTCTGTAAAAAAATATGTAATAATAATAATCTTGGGTACAAGGCCCTAATGGGGATGTCACAGAACCTGCTCAAACTGCCCTAGGTGTCTCACTGCCCACTCTGTGCCGCAGGTCCTGAATGCCCAACCACTAGTGGACACCCACCCACCACAGACTTATGGCCACCTCTGCCTGAAGTTCAAGAAACTTAAGGTATGTGCCACCTCCTCTTCTAGCCACATTCCCAGCTTACAAGGTGACGTCAGTTCAGAGCCCCTGAACTGGGAGTAGACAAGCTCTTTGACCTTGTCAAAAGCCAGGTGTCACCTAGCAGGCCAGCTGAACTGAACCTGCCTGATGGAGCTGGCTAGTGACTGTACCAGAACCTTCCCTGACATTGCACAGACACAGACAGATAACTTTGGGGCAATTTGTACAATTCGGCTCCAGACAATTAATTAGCATCATTCCTTTAAATTTGCTGGCCCCTTCCAGATTTGTGTTCCTTGAAGCGTGGGTCATGGGTAAGAGTGAGCCACACATGATCATGCCTGAAGTGGTGTGCCCCCCCCAGCAAATGGAAAGTAATTAACTTTGTCAATCGGTTGAACACAGTTGAAGGGCAGCTGAACACCAGCAAGTCCGTGTAAAAGCTGAAAGCAGGCCTTAGTGGTCCTGTCGCTCTTCTGACAAGATGGGGAGGAAAGAGAAGAGAATCCCAAACGCTTGGGGTCCAAGGAATATGGCCTATCGAGTAGCAAACAAGAGAGTCCATCTCAAACAAAACAGACCATGAAGGTGGACAGCCAAGGTTGTCCTCTGACCTCCACAGGCAGGCTGAGGCACATGAACACACACATGCTCACACACATACATGCTCACACACACACACATGCACACACGGTGCAAGAGGCTGTAGGCATACTCTTTTCTTCCCTCTGGAATTAAGTATCACTTCTTCTAAGCAGCACAATTCTCTCCTGACATAATCCCCTAGCTAGCACAGCCGCCACATGTCAGTTTAACAGACAACTTGAATGCACACGATACCATAACTCCTTGCTGCGGCAGCCCCAGCCCAGTGTGTTGCAACCCAAGGATGGAGTGGTCTCCCTACTCTTGTCTCAGGGCCCAGGACTGAGGTACCCCCTGCTATCTGCTGCTGACACCTCAGGGGACCTATGGAGTGTGGCTTTGAAAAGGATGTCTGGGGGAACCGTGTGCTATTGAGAGGTCCCTGTGTCCACAGGTGGAGGAAGAAAGGCTTTCCATCATCAATAGAGACAACTGGCTGCTTCTGCAGAGGGTAGCCTCTGCCATGAGAGCCAGGGGACAGACTGACAGCGGAAATAACTTCACACAGAGAAGGTAATAGAAGGGCCCTTGTCTTAGCCAGCCCCATACTAGACCTGGGTTCAAGGGCAGGGGGCAGAGTCGTGGTGGTATAGAGGCGAGGTGTTCTTTCTAGTCATAAGAGCCAAATTCAAAGTGCCCATAGGCTCCCTGACTCAAGACCCTCCTTGAGGCTCTGAGGTATATCAAGGCACAAGAATTGGCCCTGGGTGACAGCTGCCCAGCCACATGCCTGCTATGTTCCGGGAGCTGCCCATAGAACCTTCCCAACCTCCATCCTCACAATGACCAGGCAAAGCAGAAGCTAAAGAGCTTCTCATTTCATAGTGGGGAAACTGAGGTACAGTGAAGCTGCACAACTCGGCCAAAATCGCCATCACTGTAGAGGGTACAGAGTGTGTCCAAGTCACAGAGCACCCTACAGCCTTGCAAAGTGTTAGATCCTTGTCTGGCAGAGCACAGAGGGCTCAGCCCTGGTGCCCTGGTGAGAGCATGGCTGCCCCCTTTATGCCAGCACTGTCCTCTGAAACCTGTGGTTTCTTCCAGCTTAGAATTCTGCTTCCCAAGAGGATGAAGGGCAGCAGGCCTCCATGTTCCGGGAAACTGACCTATGAATACTCGCATGAGTCCTTTATCCTCCCTTCTGCAAACGGAGCGGCGCTCCATCCTTGGTAGCCATATACCCTGGGAGACCTCTCTAGCCTTCCTGCTTTGAGTAGAGTCTTGCTGGTGACCATACAGGGTCACAGCGATGCAGGCTTTCCTGCAGATGCTCCTGAACTCTTTAACCCATTTAAAGCTTCCAGATTCATAACAGACTAAGCTACAGACCAGCACCCAAGCCACCAACTCTTCTAGTGCCAATCATGACAGCCAGGCTCCGGAGGTTACAAGGAACGTGGTTGGCTCTGTTACTGTATGCATGTTCTACAGAATGACATTGATTTATTTTGCTATTGTTATTTGGTTTTCGAAGACAGGGTTTCTATGTAGCCCTGGCTCTGCTTCCTGAGTGCTAGGATTAAAAGTGTGTGCCACCATGCCCGGCTAGATTAACACTGTTGAGGACATTGTTGGGTCATCTTGGACTGATGATCGGCACCCTCTCCTGTAGGCCGTACTCTGTTCATTCACCTATTGAGGAACATTTTAGTTTGTTTTTGGTTGCTACTAACAAGGTTATAAAGATCATTTACATTAAAAAAAAATTTATACCTGTGTCTTCAGAGACCAACAACTCAGTAGAAAACAGAGCATTCAATTAAGCCATTCAGAGAGGGATCCCCTGAAGGAAAAGGAGAAACTCCTTGAACACGCACCCAGCGAAATCGGTGACAAGTATTCAATAGGCAAACAACCAAAGTCAACCATTTAAAGCAGTGCTTCTCAATCTGTGGGTCTCGACCCTTTGGAGTTGAAGGACCCTTTCACATGGGTCACGTATCAGATATCCCACATATCAGATATTTACATTGTGATCCCTAACAGTAGCAAAACTGCAGTTGTGAAACAGCAAAGAAATAATTTTATGGTCGGGGTCACCACAACACGAGAAACTGTATTAAAGGGTCACAGCATGAGGAAGGTTGAGAGCACTGGCTTAAAGGTTTTGTATTACACATGAAAAAGCATTTAGTCAAGAACATCTATCGCAACAAGGGAGAAAGCTATGGTATTTGAACTGTGCCCCCCCCCCCCAAGCTGGAACTTCAACCTTGGAAGCTGTTTGGAGCCAAGGCTAGTTCTATCCCACAATGATCTCTCTAAAATATGCACCTGTACCTGGTTTGAAGCATTTAACACTTTCAAAACAGGCTAGACTCCTCCTGCATCTGTCTGCTGGGCTTCTCCACATGGTCGCTGGGCCTTCTTCTCCTTCTTGCTGTTAACCTTCCTTTAAGGCTCTGTTCAGCCTTACCCCCTGGCTGCCACCACTCACCCTTAGGGGCATGATGTCCTCACTCGGTGCCTGCTCCTCCACTGGGCATGTGGATGGTGAGGGATGGTTTGTGCATGTTTCTCAATGGGAAGCCAACGAGAGCCCTGACATCACCCAGAGCCCACCAAGCCTGGTGATACTTGATCCTTTTGTGAATGAGGAGTGAACTTTCTGTACCATAACTCTGGGTTGATGAAAGAATGTGTATATTCCTTTCTGGAGTCTAAACAGGAAGACAAGAGAACAGGCGCCTATGGAAGCGCGGAAACAAAACAAAGTCATCCTGGAAAGACTTGGAAGCTCAGAGCCCTGGTTTGGAGCACAGAGACGGTGGGAGGACAGGGATGCCATGGCCAGACGCACCCACAAATGTAGACGCACCAGGAGAAAAGGTACCTGTGGTTCTTGTTGTAAATATGCACGCATCTCATTCTTGACTTCTTCAGGTTCATTGCACATACATCCACTAAGCCTTCGCTGTCCGATGCCTCCCACACACTTGTCTGTGGGTAGTTGTCTCAAGTCGCAAAAGGCATAGTGAAGCCTGGGCAGTCCCCCCCCCCCCAGGGAATTCACCCATCTTTCTTCCCAAATTTACAAGGAGATAAAATGAGTTCAGCTGATCGGTTACAGGCTCAGGAGGCAGGGACAGTTTGGTGAGAATATAACCTGAATAGATAGTATGCTTCAAAACTCATTATTTGACTACCTGAATTACCTGTTCTGCGCAGAATCCAGGTCAAAAAAAAAAAAAAAAAACTACAACCTGGAAGAATTTGCTAGAAAACTTATACTCTAAACCCTTCCTCTTCATCTAACACAAATCACTGGCAAGTTCTTAATTCTGAATGAAGAACGATTTCATTCTGCCATCATTATTCTTACAAATGTCTCAATGAACCAAGGTAATTGGGGGTTTTAAATCTTCGCTCACTGTCCTTACCCATGATGCTGTTTTCAAAACCACGTCTATTCTCGGGAAATGTGCAGATACCAAATTAATAATAAGTATGCCAGGACATAGAGCCTGCCCTGATCAAATCCCAGGCCAGAGAGTCCATCCCACAGACCCCTTCCCTGTGACACCTGGTCTTCTAGTCCCCACTGTCCCCATAGGCACTGAATGTGGCTCATATTGTTTGCAGTTATGTGATCTTCCTATTATTTGCCTGGACATTTCTTCTAAATTTCCCGAGACTGTGACCGTGTTCTCCCATATTTTTTCTTAAGTTGTTAATAAAAATGGAATTTTTATACATTGTGTAAATTTGTTATCAAAGGATTTTAATTTTTTTTAAGACAGAATTTCACTGTGTAGTACAGGCTGGTCTTGAACTCAAATCCATCTGCCTCAGCCTCCCAATTACTAAAACTGTAGGCATACATACCCTGCCTGGCTTCAAAGTTCATTTTTTTCCCAAACACATTGGAAGTTTAAATAAATAAATAAACAAACAAACAGTGCTGGGCGTGGTGGTGCACACCTATAATCCCAGCAGTCAGGAAGCAGAGGCAGGCAGATCTCTGTGAGTCTGAGGCCTGCCTGGTCTACAGACTACAGAGTGAGTTCCAGGACTGCTGGGGTTGTCACACAGAGAAACCCTGTCTAGAAAACAATAAATAAATAAATAAATAAATAAATAAATAAATAAATAAATAAATAAATAAATAAATAAAATTTAAAGACCCACTTAAAAATTAGTATTTCCTCCTCTGCCAACCTTTATTTAAGTCTTATTGTTAACATCTCTGTGTTGGTTTTATTTAAGGTAGCCTTTAAAGACAAAGATGAATTTTGCCTCTTTAGCTGAAAACAGAGATTTTACTTACTTAATACTATGCTTGCTCTCATTTCTGGTTCTTCTTGTTTTCCTGAGGGCTTCACCCCAGCCCCTGGCAGAAGACCCCTCCCCAGGGAGGGTTAAGAAAACCCACCGATGGTAACCCCCTCCCCAGGGAAGAACAAGACCACTCCCACAGGCTATTTAAATTGCCCCCCTCCCCTAGAGAATGAATGCATGGTCTCCGGGTTTTGAGAGGTCTCCCCTTTCCTTTCTTTTCCTCTTCATGCTTTCTAGGGGCCAGCCGGGAGCATTGCATTAAACATGGGCATCTTTAAATTCGGTTTAATTTGGTCTGATTGGAATTATCTGCAGCGGCTGAGAGGCTCGTCTTAAGAAATACCTAAGACTTCTATTTGTTTATGTTTTGTTTTTCTCCCGTCCTTTTCATACTTTTAATAGCGTTTATATGTGGAGAGGAGGGGGGTGGGCTCTTTTGTTTTCCAATGAAAACGTTTAGAAAATGCGCAAAGGTATGGCTCCATTCAACCAGTCCTTTGTTTGCTTGGACCCGCTCACTCTCCCTGCTCTGTGTGAAAGGAAGCCATAGAGCTGACAAGAGAGACCCTAAGGGAGACACAAAAGGGAAGGCTTTTCGGCTTGGAAGCTGTCCTGTAGCTACCGCCCACAATCTACACTCCACTCCACGTAGGATGTTGTCAGCCTTCCGGGGCTCCTGGGGCCCCCTCTTAAGGGCAACCCCCACCTCCTCTCCAACACTCAGCTCTGGACCTATGGGGCCTTCGTCAGTGGCTCTGGACTTTTCCTCTTTGTCAAAGACAGGAAACAGCTGCCGCCGCCTTAGCCTGTGGTTGGGAGGCAGCTTCCTGCCAGGGCGGGAGCCTTTCGGTCCATAGCATGCATTTCCAGGACCTATACTCTATGCATCCACGGGAGAGAGTGCAGGACCTAGGGCTTCAGGGTGGCAGATACCTCAGCCCTAGCCTCTCCCCAGTTTTGGGGTGCCTTGCTCTTAGGTGACTTCACTGGTTTTTCTTTATTTTGGTTTTGATTCTGTTTTGTTTGAGTCAGGGTTTTACCCTGTAGTCCTGGCTGGCTTGGAACTTTGTAGACCAGGCTAGCTTTGAATTCACAGAGATCTGCCTGCCTCTGTTTTTCAAGTGCTGGGATATGTGCCGCCTCATCTGATAGGTGCCCCAACCTTTTATAGAAGTAAAATAAAATAATATATAAGTACAATTGTGTCATCTGAAAATGGCAGGTATAAAAAAAGAAAAGGAATCCATTTTATAGGATCAGAAGCCCAGAATGCACGCTGCTGGCTGGCCAGCCTGCTCTGGAACTTCCATTGGCCCACTACAAACTGGATCTATCATGAGCCTCCCTCAGGCAAGCTGGAGAAGCCCATCTTCTCCCAGCCACTTCTGCAGCTTCTCCCTCAGAGCTGCTTCCTTCCTAACTCCGATGAGAGCAAGCACTGTGCTGTCAGGAGGAAGATTTCTATAAGATGATCCAGTAAACACTGTTGGCCATCCCAGTGCTTACTGGAGCCTAGGTTAGTGGAAGCACGTAGCCTCTACAGTCCACACACAGACACACACACACCACACCACACCACACACACGATCACAATGAGAAAACTAAACAAGTGAACTACACCTGAGTACTGGAGCTATCGACATGCTCCAAGTTCTTCCAGACAGTTCCACAGTTTCAGACAGATGCTCAGTTCCCAGCACACACAGTAAAGACAGCTGGGCCTCACTCAGCTCCTGCACCCATGTCAGGATTCAGTGAGCAGCATTTGCAAAGGGGCTATAAGGTTCCTGACCCTAGAAAAGACACGTTTTAGCTTGTCCTTCTTTACCACACGCTTCTACCATATGAGTCAAAACTGGGGTGCAGGTGATACCTAGAAGCCAACAGTCAGTTTTGCTGACGTGGTGTGAGAAAAGACTCTACAGCAAAATTGAGGTTGCAGAAATTATCGTCTGACTGCACATACATCCGAGGAAGATACCCAGTGCCCAATATGTGCATGAAAAGGTACCCAGTGTTGCTGGAGAAGTAGAAGTCAGTACCACAGTGTGATACCCTTCACATTGGCTACGCTGGCAGACGACAGCGTGTGTGTAGAGAGACTGGGAGCCAGAGAGGTGACGATGCACTTGCTCTGCAAACACTTTGCTGGTTCCTCTAAAGATCAGCAATTCTACACCCAAGGAGAGAAGAGAATCGGAAGTACAAGTACGCATGAAACCACACACACCTGTGTCTGGAGCAGCATTTTCAACAATAGCCAAATGTCCATAAAGTGACGAGTGAGCAAACCAAATGAGATAAATCTGCACAGTGGGATATTTTTCTTCTATAAAGAAACCCGAGGTCGTGCATTGCTACATAACGGATGGAGCTTAAAGACGCTGGCGAAAGAGCCAGACGCAGAGTGGCGCGTGTATGAAATGCCCAGACAGGCAAATCCTAAGGGCATAAAGACTAGTGGCTATTGGGAGCAGGAAGGGAGACTTGGGGAAAATCATTACGGAATATGGTTTGGGGAGAGTTGGTGATTAAAACATTCCCAATTATACCGTAATTATAGCTGTACATGTATGAATACCTCCAAGCCTCTAAAGTATTCTCTTTAAAAGGTGGCTTTTAGATATAGAATTACTGGATTTCAGTCAAGTCATTATGAAAAAGAAGACATGAGGCAGCGTGGTGAGAGGTAGAGGGCCGCAGGATCTGGACTTCAAGGTTAACCTCAACTATGTAAGAAGTTCAAGGGCAGCCTGGGCTATGTGAGACCTTGTTGCAACAAGCAAACAAAAAGCCAGATACAACAACAAAAGAGTATCTAGTACATTCTCAATAAGAGATTGGCAATTAAATGTTCCACCCTCCATGCATTCTAGAGAATTGGCGTGTTTTTCTGTTCTTGCCTAAGGAAGATGACTGTTATAGTTTTTTTTTTTTTTTTTTGTCCCACAGCAGCTGAAACTGACGCTCAGCAAGGACACAGCCTCATCTGGATACCCAACCTGAAATGGAAAGTGTGAGGGTTCAGAACCCAAACACCCTAAGAAGCGCAGCGGCCAGAAACACTGAGGGGGGTCTTCCTAGGCTCTCCCTGGGAGGGGGTGGGGACAGCTGTACGTGTGTGCGGGTCTTGGAGTGGTGGCCTAGCATCTGAGGTCACGTTGGCTTCTGTGTGCCTTCAGGGACAGCCTTGAGTGAGGGCCGTGACACAGCACCCTGGAGCTTTGTGGTCACAGCCTTCGCTAGATGACACAGCACAGCTATTTATTGTGTTTCTTGGACTGATAACCAAAAACAAACCATGCAGAGTAACACCGGAAGTGACCGGATATTGAATTAGACTTTCTTTTCTAGCTATTAATACTTTTGCTCAGTTACCATGAGTTCAAGTGGTTGTATGTAATTCCCCTAAAATCTTTGTGACTGTCACTTTACCAAATATATAAATAAATCAAACTGAGAACTTTAACCCAGATCCAGAACACATGACCCAAGAAGTAAGGACCCAGTGAATCTTGTAGAACAATTAGGAAGTCTCTAAGAATCCCCAACCTGAGTATTTTCCCTGTTTTAAGGTAAGATCACATTTAAACTATCCTGTAACAAGGAGCTGGTAGTCTTTCTGCCTCAAGAAGTCACTTAAAAACCCATACACACTTTTCCCTCTTCATCCACCAAAGTCCTGTGGGGGTGAGGGTGGGGCCTAGGAAGTGAGGAGGAAGCATGCTTCATGTAAGCTGGGAGCAGCCCTTTCTGTGGAGACACATCTCAGTAACTATTGTGTGTGTGTGTGTGTGTGTGTGTGTGTGTGTGTGTGTGTACACGCACATGCGCGCATGTGTGCTTGTGTATGTATGTAAGCTCATTTTTTTTTCTTTATGCTCAAACCCTTTAATGTATACTTAAAGGTCAGTAGCAAGTCTAATGCTGGTTCCCCAGACTACAAAGAACCTTCATTACAGAACCTAAGGGTCTTCAGTACATTGCACAAACATGGTCCTTAAATCATGGAACTTGGAGTCAGGCAGGATGTGGGCTTTAGCTCTTTGGCTGTGTCGCTGAACATTGTAAAACTTCTCATCTGAGCAGCGAGTGTGGCTGGAGTCTACCTCAGGCAACATACACATGCCTTGTAGACACTGAAGCAATGACCCAAGCACCTTCTTAACCGTCCACCTCTCTGTCAGGTATGACAGAAAGGTGACTTCTTAGTAGCATATGTGTCTCCAGTTCATAAGTATCACCTTTGCACCTGCTCTCTAAAGGTGGTCCCTGTCTGTGTCCCTGCTGCCTCTACATCCTGGGGAACATAAGGTTCCCAAGAGCGCTTGGTGGCATTGTTTGATGTCAGTGTAGTCTGCCACCAAGCCCAGAAGAGTTACCATTTGATCACATAAAAATTATCCCTCTTCTCCTCCTACCATCCCAGAGAGTAAGTGATGGATAGAGACTGCCCAATCATTCCACAGAGCCAAGGCTTGGACCACTCCTTCCCCCTACAGGAGGACTTCTGCTCTTTGCCCCTCTGACCTTTTTATATGATGAATACTTTTATTATTTTTCCTTGCCCATCACTTTGATTGCTGCTTGATCAGTCAAGATTGCCTAGAAAAATTGTACAAGGCTGACCCCTATCTACAGCAGGACAAGGTCACAGTAAAAAATAGTTTTCTCCCTTTAGGCTATGAGAGACACCTAACCCCTCTGGTTGCCAATCAGGTTCCTTAATGTGAGGAAACACTGAGGAAGTTCAGTTGGCTCAGTTGAGTGAAGAATCCATGTGTCCCCGTGCCCTGGCTGCGCGCCTTATTCCCCTAACAGACAGGGCTGTCCCACCCAGAGTTTGGACTTGCTCAGAAGAGAAGCAGACACCTACACGCTGAAGTGTTGCCGTGCTGAGGGGACACTGTGAAACAATAAAGTCTGGAAGGTATATGACACGGCTGGGCAGAGCCTAAGGCTCAAGATGGCAGGCACTTGTGTCCTGCCTCATACAGGCTCGGCAGCTCAGGAGGCCTTTTTCCTGCCATGCGATGCCATCTCTTGGTTTCTAGGGAGCAAGATGCTCCTCATAACAGTTTGTCTGTTTTCTTGACGTTAACCATGGTATCTAAAAAAACATGGTAGACCCATGAAAAACACTTCTGTAAGGGCCAAGTTAGTTCTCAGGTAACCTGCAAGTAGGAGACCACAGCTAACACTGTCCCTTAGAAGATGGCAGGAAAGGAAGAGCTAGCAGCACTTTGGCAAGACCATGCAGAATACACCATTAAAGTTTGTCTTGGTCTTCTGATCTGTGATCTGGGTTTCAGAACAACCTTTTCTTGTCTGTAGGCTGACCAAGTTCCTGTCTGAGGACAAAAACAAGGGTAGTAAACCAGCAGCAATATGCGACCAAGATCTGAGAGCCCCAGAGACCTTCACCTCATCACAGACCTTTACCATTGTTCCTGGCTGTCAGTCAGAACTTGATGGTAATGCCCTGTTGCTAAGACGCCATGATGACGTGTAGAAATCTAGTTAGAACTGACTTGGAAGCTTCCTCCCTGCCGGTTAGCTTCATGGAACTAGGAGGTGCCAGGCAGGCTGCTGGGGGAGAAAAGCCATCAAGAATCTTACCCAATTGTGAAGCTTGTGAGCCACAGGAAGGATCTGCTGGGCAAGAGCAGCATGGCTGTGATAAGGGCAACCACTGCCTTCTGATTGGATGGAGTATGTGTCACAGGATAGAACATGTTCCAGGTACTATAACGCTTGTCAAGAGCCTGCGGTCAGGGAGGTCATGGGCCCTAGTAGGGAATCCACTACCACTTTTTTTGTTAAATGGCCGTGTTATCAAACTACCTCCTAAATATGTTTAGATCTACAGATTAGTGCTACACTCACCCTTGACCAAAGAAGTTTCTTAACTGCCTTGGGCAGCAATTGAAACAGAGAATCCTAACTGGCCAGAGGGTAGAAAGTGAACCAAGGTGGAGGACTTATCCCTAGATAGAACGTGTCTATCAATTCCTGCTGGGTTCAAGGAGCATCACAGAAGATAACGGAAGAGCCAAAGGATAAGGGGACACATGACAATAGACAGTTTTGGCTATGACATACCCATACTCATGGACTTGCTGTAGCCATAATTATCTACACTAGACTTGCAGGATTTGGGGCCAAGCAGCATTATCCATGGATAGGAAAGGCCCTATGAGGCCTCAGCCTTCCCTTGAGGACTATTGGAAATTCATGGCCACTGGAGTCTTGTTTTCTCGAGCAGGTAGCTCCAGTGAGTAACTTCCCATGTGTGCTCATGCCGGTAACTCTAATTCAACCAAGTGGCTCATGCACAAAGGAAAGGTATGAAAGGGAGCTGGAGAGATGGCTCCGTAGTTAAGAGCACAGTCTGCTCTTACGGAAGACCCAGGTCGTATTCCCAGCCCCCACATGGGATCCCACAGCCCTCTATGTCTCCAGTTCCAGGAAATCAACACCCTCTTCTGGCTTCCATGGGCACGCCATACATGTAGATCAAGATGTACATGCAGCAAAACACTCATATACATAAAAAAAATCTTCAAAAAAAAGGTGAAAGTAGACAGACTTGTTAGGAAAGAGGGCTTCAGCAGGAAAGAAATAGAAAAGAGAGGACAAAGGGGGGCAATAAAACCCCTCTAATGTGCTATACACTTGTATGAGATTGTCAAAGAATAAAAAGTGTTTCAAAGTTTTAAAGACTATTTCCAATCACTGAGCGTGTCGTTTGCTGAGTCAGTGGCCCTTGGCAGCATGAGATAGGGGCTATTGTGAGATTCTTCAAACTATGAAATTTAGCTTGAGATAACCTTAAATTTCTCATGGATCTTCACGGGATCATGTTCAGGAAGCAACACGGTAAGATCATCACCTCATCTTCATGCAAAACCCATTTTCATATCACGGCTTAAACCCAATACAAATTAGTGAGATGCGGACCAAAGCCATGTCTTCACAGGTCCTCATTTGCTTTGTGTTTTCATCTGCACGGAAGCTTGTACTCCTGGCACAACACACGCTTTCTGTGTAGTCAGGAACAGAACTCCTCTGTCACACGGGTTGCCTACAGTCCTGGCAGCTGTCATTGATGGATAACTCTCTCCAGGACCCTGTGGCCTTTGACTGTACTGATTCCGTCTTTGCTCAGAGGTCTGGTTGCCTCATTTTTAGCAGAGTGGACTGTCCTGCCCACTCTGTCCTTTGTACTATCAGCCTATAGTCCACAGGGAAGAGGCCTCAGTCTAGTACAGACACCATCCACAGCATGCCGGGAAGAGAGCGCATATTCTCAACCTCATTCAGGACACTCAGGATGGCCCTTCAAACATGTGGTGTGTCTCTGCTCTCACCTGCCTCTTTCTGTGCCTACTGCGCCTCTCTCTCTTTTCCAGGAGACAAAAACTCCCTCCTGCTACTCTGTAAGTTGTTTCTGCCCCCAGTTCACTCCTCAAACTTAACAAAACCAAAGGTTGGTGCTAAACTGGTCCCTTGCCCTGATTAGCAGTTCAGCCCCTGTGTTTCCTTAACAGGACACCCTGTGGGTCCTCCACCACACTGGAGGGGCTAAGAAAGTATCTGCTAACAAAATATAACAAATATTTGAGATGACAATAACTGGGACTGGCTGAGTGTCCGTTGCTAATAAATCAGTTTTTATCCACACTATCACAACTCAGTCACTCAGTGTATATCAAATTTGCCAGGCTTTGGAGCTGGAGAGATGGCTCAGAGGTTAAGAGCACTGATTGTTCTTCCAGAGATTCTGAGTTCAATTCCCAGCAACCACATGATGGCTCACAACCATTTGTAATAAGATCTGGTGCCCTCTTCTGGCCTGCAGGGATACATGCAAGTATAATGCTGTATACATAATTAATAAATAAATCTAAAAAAATTGCTAGGCTTTCACTCCTGAATACATGCAATATACATATATACATGTGTTTATGGCATGTATTGGTGTATTGGGCGTGTTAGTATGTGTGGTTTATGTGGCTTGTGTGGTGTATGTCATGCATTGTTCTAGGGGGCACTTATATGTTGTGTGCAATGTACAAGTGTGATATATGTACCGTGTAGTATGTGTAGTGTGGTGTGTGCAATACAGAAGTATGTGGTGTATGTGTCATTGTGACTGGTGTGTGTCTGGTGTGATAGGTATGCTTAGTGAGTGTGTGATATATAATGTACGTAGTGTGGGAATATGGTGTGTACATGTTATGTGTCTGTAGTTTGGTGTGGCATAGGTGTGGTATGGTATATGGGATAGGAAAAAAAATGTGTTGCGTGAGGTATATGTGTCAGTGTCTATGGAGTGTATTTGTGGTAAGGTCCTGTGTGGGGAGTGTGGTGTATGTGGAGGTGCACACTGTATAGTGTGTATGGAGTGTGGTGTATGTGGAGGTAGACATTGTATAGGTGAGGCTAGTGTCTATGGGGTCTGATGAGGGGAGGTGCCGCGCACAACGCCTGTCTGTGCTCTATGTGCTACCATACAGTTCCCGAGCTTCGGGTAAGGGGCTGGAGGTTGAAACACACAAACACAAACAGACAGAGAGACAGAGACACGGACCTCTAGTCACTGGTAAGAAGCCCCTTTATTCAATACCATCGTGGAGGCTTATATACCCAACAGTCAGGTGGGCCAAC